CCTATATATAATGATAATGTCCGGTGGTAACAACTTGTATTTCTTATAATGATAATGTCCGGTGGTAACAACTTGTATATATATAAAAAAAGAAGAAAAGCACTATTGAAGCTGTGTTATGTGATTTACTCAAAAGGTCTTCGAATTTTCTTCGCAAAGCTACTTTAGCACTAGACCTAATAGAGTTGCAAATCAACACTGACCCGCCCACTATTCTCCTCCTGAGGCGGTCCTCCAAATATTGAGCACAAAAGTTTTCCTTCGTCTCGCACTTTTTCCACTTGGCGAACATCTCGTTTTGTCGGCTTTGTAGACAGGTGCGTAGTATTCGCAATTCGACGTCCAGTACTCGGTGACTGTACTCTGGTAGACCGCATACGTCGTGTAGTCGTCTTCGTTTGATGAAGTTCGGAACGACTTGATGTTTTAGACAGCGGCGGAGAAAGTGTATTGACTGTCGAGCTAAGACGATCTTTTGTCTCAGTGACAGCGCTTCTTTTACAAGTCCGAAGTATCTTGCTGGCACATTTTGCAGTAAGTGCCACGACCGACTTTCTATTAACCTTGGCATTGATCAAGTAATTTTCTTCGTATCTTTGTTGAGCAAACGCGAGGTGTTATTATTCTTTGTTCACGATTAAGCTGACGTTTCGGCGGATTTCGCCTTCCTCAGAGCCAGGAAAGGACAAGTTGATAGCAATCCACCCGGCCAGACGCCTCCATAACCAAACAAAGAAACTCCAAACCAAGATTTCAATCACTTTGAACACAGCTTTGCACATCGTCCAGACGCCTCCATAACCAAACAAAGAAACTCCAAACCAAGATTTCAATCACTTTGAACACATCTCTGCACACTCACCGCTTCCTATGAGGTTCTCACTAAGTATGACTAGTGACTTTTATGTATTCTTTCTTTGATGAGCTTAAACGAGGTTGATAATGATATTTATTTATTATCGGCTAACGTTTCGACGTTTTCGTCTTCCTCAAAGCCGGTGATCCCAGTCGATGGTCCATGCTTGTTGTTCGTCTCGACGTTGCAGCTTCGCCTTCGTGTCGAGTCAGGTCTTCCTCAGTGATCCATCTTCTCGAATGAGGCATCCTCACTCAGTGATACCCTTTTATACACGATGCTGATGGTTGATATAATGATAATGTCTGGTGATAACAACTTGTTTTTCCTCCAGACATACATCATTGCGCACATCGTGCAGAAGTCGGTGTTATTATCAGCTAGCGCCAAGCGTAGTAACATTTCGAAGCTGACTTTCCTTGAACTTCGGTATCACTAATCAATATGTATTCAGTATATTATATATTATTAATAGTATATACTCATATATATTATATTCGATATGAATGAATATATTATATATTATTAATAATATAATATAATAATATAATTATAACTCGTATGAAATGCTGAGACATTTGCAAAACTCCGCACCACAGGTGTATGCAGTGGGGAACGGACACGCGCTGTTAAGAATATAATTATAGTATATTATATGTATATATTCAATATGAAAGATTACATATTGATTAATGATACCGAGGTTCAAGGAAAGTCGGTTTCGAAATATCGACTTTTACTTCAAAATCGTCTCCGCTGTGCTTTTGTGCCCTATGCACGCCTAGTGGTGTACTTCGCCGTAGTTTTCGTTTGCCATCTAGGTGTTCTTTTATACGGATACACAAAGATCTGCCCGTTTCGCCAATATATTCATCTCCGCAATTATTACAAGAGATCAGGTATATCGTACCTGAACTCATGTAATCTCCGTCCCTGCCGTAAGGGCTCATTACGCAAGTTGTTTCACACAGACGGTTATACAGGCGGTTACGAACTAATTGACGACGTAGAGTAGCCGGTGGTATTTCAACTATCGCTACGCTACCGATTCCTCTAGACCTGCCCTTCTTAAACATCGTTTTATAGCTACGCTTACTTCATCGCCAATAAAAGACAACATATATGGGACTTTCTTTTGGTTAAATGTTTCGCTTGGGCGCGTCGCTCTCCTTCTTAACTTATCTCGTGGGGTAACTATTTCGTATCCATTGGAAATGGCTATTTGCCGAGCCATGTTTTATTAGCGATGAAGTAAGCGTAGCTATTAAACGATGCTTAAGAAGGTCGGGTCTAGAGGAATTGGTAGCGATAGTTGAAATACCACTGGCTACTCTACGTCGTCAATTAGTTCGTAACCTCCTGTATGACTGTCTATGTGAAACAACAAATTGCGTAATTTGCCCTAACGGCAGCGATGGTGATTGCATGAGTTCAGGTGCGATATACTTGTTCTCTTGTAATAATTGCGGAGAAACGGGCAGACCATTGTTTATCCGCGTAATGGAACACCAAGACGGCAAGCAAAAAGTCGAGAAGCTGTTGATCATGTAATTACCATAAGGTTTTTCGTGTTTTTGTAAGTGTTATTGAAGCGTTTGGCCTAGTAGATTGTATATCAGTATACCCTTCCAGGCTCTGAAGAAGGCGATACTACCGAAACGTCAGCTAGTGTTGTATTGTATTGTGTTTTTCTGTGGAAGTAAATGTATGCTGTTTAACAACCTCCCGATTACTGAACAAGAAAATGACGCATTTATAGACCTTCGAAGTTAGGATTTTTTTGTGACGAGAAATAAACTCTATACCTATGATGCATCTATGCATATGTCACTTATTGAGCTCGCTTATACTGTTCAGGATTCATAGTGATTGAGCTATCCGTTACACATTCGCACTGATGTCAGAACAGTTACTGATGATTCCGCTTGGCGTGTAGTTTACCTCTACTTTCCTTTAGAGACCAGCCTGCCACGAAAATATGGTTAAAGTTGGTGGCTACATATTGGGCGAATTCGGAAATTTGATAGCTGGTGACCAGCGTTCCAGGTATCTAAAGTAGCTTCCATTTTTCTTTTTAAGTATTTTCAAAATCCTTCCTTGGGTACTGTAACAAAATTGGAGTCATAAAGACATTTCTTCAGTCCTCAAATCCAATTTGAGCTACTGCACTCGAAATTTCCTTTGTGTAGTATTGCTACACGATGTCTTCTTCTTACGACGTATGTGAAATTCTGCAACTTGTTCCCGGAAATAAAACACATTATCCAGCAGGCCAGTGTTTCGTTTCAAATGGTACATATGAATAGTGGTCCCATGACCTCTAGTGCTTACCATTAGTGTTTTAGGTTTACCAGGTCGACCATAATTTGAGAAACCCGGATGCAGAGTTGCAACAACGAGCGATTGAGTATCTCCAGTTGAGCAAGGTGGCCACTCCGGATGTTCTAGCAACGGTGACTTCACAAATATTCTTTCTGGCGCATAATAGAATGAAGGGACACCCAATTATCCCTTGTTTATCACTATTCCATAGTGTGCTTTGCAGATTTTGGAAGAAATGCCACCGTTTGCGGAAAAAGAAAGCAGTCTTCTAGCTAAATTGAAAAAGAGTAAACCACAAGTAGAGGAAATGGAAAATGTTGAGAAAGAGAAGAAGAATAGGCCAAACGCTACACCTGTTAAGGTAGTCTCAAAGTATTCGTCAAATACGTGTCATTTGTATTATAACATCGAGTCTGAACATTTAATATTATTGATGCGCAATTTGATAGTCCCGTGTTGGCATCAGTATGGTTGAATCGGACCTAAACCACGTGGAAGTCTACATTTTTACTCCAGTGAAGCCTCAGATCGTTTTCGTTTTAATTCGTGTCATTCTGTTTAGGATGATGGAACTGCTTCGCTTGTTGATTTTTCGCAACCGAAAGATAATGGATCGGGGTATTTTCTATTTTACATATCGTTCATGATTGTTTTTGGCTTGTTAAATTCCTATTTGTAGTTCCTTGGTTGATATATTTGGACACCAATCTTCTGGACAACCTTCAGCACAAGTTTCATCGAATACTCAAGGAGAAGACAAGGACATCGCTAACAAACACGACTATTTCAAGTTCGTTTTTAATTTTTCTACAACTGAAAGCCTTTATTTAACAATTTGAGCTTTTTAACTTATTATTTGCTCCTTACTCTTTTTAACGGCAGGGTATATATTGCGAAATATAACTTTAATGATGCTGAGCTATTTGCAAAACTCCGGACCGCAGGTGCTTACGGTGGGGAACGAAGCGCTATTGTCCTTTCCGGGGAGTAACGCGTTCACCACCACACCATGCTAGTTCTTCGTTTCGCTTGTCTCTCAGCTAGTTCTAGTTCTACTTCTAGATTTGGGCTACCCAGATCAATCCCGCTGACGGGTGATTGCAGATGGGAAAAGATCAATAGAACTAGCTGAGAGACGCGGGAAACCAAGGACCCGCATGGTGTGGTGGTGAACGCGTTACTCCCCGCAAAGGACAATAGCGCGTTCGTTCCCCACCACAGACACCTGCGGTCCGGAGTTTTGCAAATATTTCAGCATCGTTAAATGTGAACTTTATCATTTGCACTATCCTGTTCTTGAAGTTTGCTTTCTCTTAGGTTTGTTGTGAAGAATAATGGAGTTCTGTACGAAGATAGTGTTATCCAAATTGGTTGCAAGCTTGAATCTCGAACAAATCTTGCTCGTCTTGGAATGTTTTATGGTAATAAGACTTCAAATCAGTTTACTGATTTCATTCCTGTAGTTAGTTGTCCAGGAGCGCTTGCTGTTCAACTTCAGGCTCAGGTTAGATTTTGGGACACATCTAAAGCTAAGATTCATTTTCTCATTGGCTGCGCTTTTTCTTTCATTCATAACTGTTCTGTTGATTACAGGCAAAACCAATAGATCCAGTGGTTCAGGCAGGTGCTCAAGTGCAACAATTAATTAACTTCGTGTGCGTACAAGAATTTGGGAAAATGCCCATTATCCAAATAAAATTTAACCATGTGTAAGTTTATTAGAAATAATCGTCAAGGTGGACTTCCTGTTAACCTCGGCATTGGTCAGTAATTCACTACATTCTTGATAGGGACACTTAAGGTTGTTGTTATATTATTTATTAATGATAGCTATCGTTTTGGTGGAATTCTTCTTCAGAGCTTGGAAGGGTCAAATGTTTGCAACCTAATAGGCCAGATAGCTCAATACGCTCTAAAGAAAAACCACGATGCCTAAATTTCAATCCTATTGGAAACAAAACAGTTTCTTCGCACATTGGTCTTCTATGAGTTCCATTGGGTAGTCCACGAGGAGACCAGTCGTACATTCCACATCTTTGGGTAACGAGCCCCTCTCAGGTTAAAATATCAGTTCGACATATCGTGCCAAATCAAGCGTTATAACAATATATTACTTCCTTCGGTTCATTTTTGGATTGGAATTTATCCAAAATGGTTTGAGTGTTTTTTACGCTAGTTTTAGATTCTTGTGCAAGGTTGGTGACGCCCACTTCGAATTCTTCGAAAATTCCAAAAATCTAGGAACGAACCACGGGGAAGAATATCTTGTCGTCACGCGTGATCTCACACATCTCAGGCTGATATTTTAACGCATGTGGCGCTTATTACCCATCTGTGTGAGCTCTGTACGTTTGGTCTCCATGTGAAATGCTCAGTGCAAATGTAATAGAAAACGGTGAGTCTATGAAGAGACTCTTATTTCCAATGCCATTGAAACTTGGGTGTAGTGGTTCCTTTGTCGAGGTTATGGAGGCATTTCGCGGACGAGTTACAGTTAACTTAACCTCTGGAAGCCTTAAAGAAAGTGAAATCAGCCATTATTAATATATGGTATGATAGCAGCCTCGTGTATGATTCTCAGAAAGACTACTGATTAGAAGTTTCTGTATTCGTTTTTCATTGTACGCCGTTGTTTCTTCTTTTTAGAATTTTGAAACGAAGTGCCGAATCACTTAGGGATTCTGTTTTTTTTTGTCCAGAGAAGTCGCTCATATTTGTCATCGTTCAGAATTCTTTAGGGATAGGGCAGGTCAGACCCAATGTTTTGATAAATTGATATACCTACCGCTTTTTATCAACAAATTTTTCGAGCCGACAGAAATGACCTCGGAGCAATTCTTCGTAAGGTACCCTGTTACTTTCACCATAGTTTATTTTCTAAATAATGTTTCTTACCCTCAAGAATACTTCTAGGTGGAAAGCTTTGGGTCAACCCTCACAGGAGTGTCAAAGAATTTTCCCCGCGAAGATGTCAATGGATGCGGCAGTAGTTACACAGAAGCTTGTAGGGCTTGGAGCGAAGCTTTTAGCCGGTGTTGATCCAAATCCTGACAATTACGTCTGTGCCGGAATAATTCATACTCAGACACAACAGATTGGGACCCTAATTCGTTTGGAACCAAACAAGCAAGCTAAGGTAAGGTTGGATAGGTGGAATACGTTGTATAACATCCCATTCTGTTCTTCTTCCATGATTCATTCGAACACTTTCATTCGTTGAATATATTCAGATGTACCGACTAACTATACGAAGCAGCAAGGATACCGTTTCAGCGTATCTCGTTAATGCTCTTGTTGAGCAGTTTTAGAGTATATAAGGGCAAATTTGTGTTATGTATTCTTGTCTCATGTGCCTATCAACTACTTGCAGTGATAGATATATGAATTCGAAACTAGCTGTAATCATTTCATTTTTGTTAAAGTTACTTTGAAAATAAGCATAGCTAGTACGGCTAGCATCTCTGAGCCATAGACTAAGCACCAATCTGCTCACCAGGTTGATAATTTTTACTATAATTTTGTATCGCATATAGGAATTACTTCATCAATTCGGCCAACAAAGCATAGTAAATATTCGGGTGCATCGATCTCTGTGAGTTGAAACCTACCAAGGTCTGAATTTGAAAGAAATTACTTATACCAGTTCTTATGAACTCAGAAACGCTGTGTTCTACTTTTTTCTTCTCTAGTCTTTAACGTTATGAATGTGGCAACCAGATTTTGAGTTTCCTTTTATAGCACTTGTTTTTTTTACCAAAGTGTTATTGATTTATTGATTTACTGCTAACTTCATATTGTCGACGTTAAGAATTAGCTGCTGTCCTTGTTCATAAAGAGTTAATAATTTTAGCTGCCGATTATATTGCTCCATGGAATATTGCACAAGTTTATAACTGCCAAATCTGTAGGTCGTTAGTATCCATAGATTGTAGCTGTATGAAGTCGATCTTAATATATCTAAACAAGTGATTGAATCTAGTTGTCAGTATGGATTGCCATATAGCTATGTACTTCAAGTTTGTTAAGCTTCAATAGTTTTATAGTTCAGATAGTAGCTGTGGTGTGGGTAACGGGGATGTGGATCATTCACTCAATATTGTATTTATTCCAGCCCTTATAGAGGACAATGTCATAATCGTGGATAAAGTGATAGTTTTTTTCGAGCAAGATAAAAGTTTTATCCCTACCTTACAATGTGGCAATGATTTTCTTGTGTACATAAAGAGTAAGTACGGAACAGGATGCCCAAATATAATACATGATGTGCTAGTACTGTAGTCTTAACAAATAAGTGTACTGTGATTGTAATCGCGTGTAGCGCAATGCTCGGAGACTCCATGCCGTACGCATACGCATGGGGCCGATCCCTGCACCTCACGCTCACAAAGCTTTCCATCCCTGCGATGTTGGCAAATTGGTGCCAAACTTGTATGCGAGGATGGCAGCACTGGGTCGATACATCGGTAGCCCACTACGAGTTATTTTAAAGGCCAGATAGGCATTCTGACACCTCCAATGGTGCTTAATTAGGTCGAATACATGGTACATCCCTCAGGGATTGGTCATGTTCATCTTTTCATGGTTATGATCTGGACTTGGCGTCCCACTGAACTGGATTTGCTTTTCAGGAATAAAGTAGGAAGAATGGTCGTTTTGGTCGTTGTAAAATTCGCAAGGAGATCTTGTAATAGGCTTTTTTTTTTCTTTATAACGTTCGAAACCTTATTTGTTGCGTAGACGGACGTTATGTAGTACTGTCTTATCATCTGATTTGCAACAATCTTAACCCTTTTATTTACTGCCTTTTTCTTCTTAACGGCAGGGTATGTTGCGAAATATAACTCGTATGAAATGCTGAGATATTTGCAAAACTCCGGACCGCAGGTGTATGCAGTGGGGAACGAACACGCGCTGTTGTCCTTACCGGGGAGCAGCGCACTTCACCACTACACCATCCGGATCCTTCGTCTTACCTGTCTCTCAGCTAGTTGATTTGCAACAATTCTATGTTGAAATCAAAATCCATGTATGCAGATATATCGATAGTCTATAACGAGGTTTACACAAGGTCGGCCTTTTGAATTAAATCACAGTGTTTTAACGTTTTGTTTTCTGCCTTCTATAATTTTCATGGCAGGTTATTAAGCGAAATACAACCACAACGTTGCTGAGATATTTGCAAAACTCTGGACCGCAGGTGTCTATGGTGGGGAACGAACGCGCTATTATCCTTTCCGGGGAGTAACGCGTTCACCACCACACCATGCGGGTCCTTTGTTTCGCACGTCTCTCAGCTATTTCTATCGATCTTTTTGCCACAGCAATCACCCGTCAGCGGGGTTGATCTGGGGAGCGCAAATCGGCATAGAACCCAGTTAAGCTATGGCTGTAGTTGAAATCACAATGTTTTAACGTTTTGTTTTCTGCCTTCTATAATTTTCATGGCAGGTTATTAAGCGAAATACAACCACAACGTTGCTGAGATATTTGCAAAACTCTGGACCGCAGGTGTCTANAATAACCTGCCATGAAAATTATAGAAGGCAGAAAACAAAACGTTAAAACATTGTGATTTCAACTACAGCCATAGCTTAACTGGGTTCTATGCCGATTTGCGCTCCCCAGATCAACCCCGCTGACGGGTGATTGCTGTGGCAAAAAGATCGATAGAAATAGCTGAGAGACGTGCGAAACAAAGGACCCGCATGGTGTGGTGGTGAACGCGTTACTCCCCGGAAAGGATAATAGCGCGTTCGTTCCCCACCATAGACACCTGCGGTCCAGAGTTTTGCAAATATCTCAGCAACGTTGTGGTTAAATCACAGTGTTTAACTTCTTATTGATTGCCTATTGTTTCTTTCATGGCAGGGTATTATGTGAGATAAAACCACAGCGATGCGGAGATATTTGCAAAACCTGGATCTTAGGCCAAGTTCGAACCCGCGGCTACCTTTTCCGTGGGCTCACACGTTACCCACTCTACCACTGAGAATCTTGGGTTGCCTTTCTCTCAGCCTGTTTTTTAAAGTCTTATTTACTGCCTGCTACAATTTTTTACGGCAAGGTATTATGTGAGATGCAACCACATTTATGCTGAAATATTTGCAAAACTTGGACCCGAGGTCAAAAAAGAATTCCATGTTGATTGAGAGGACAACCTCACAGCAACGGATTTGTTTTGCTTTATTTTATTTGCTCAAACCTACACATATTTCTCTTGAAAGCACAGGCAATATTGAAATATGGACCAGTTTTGGGGAGCATTCAATTACAATGTGCACTCCCGCCGGATGGACGACCTCCAAAAAATGACGTACTTGCTAGACGCCCCTCACGTCCTCGACCTGTGAGCCGTTACATTGGTGTGTTGACCAAGTCGACTCGAACCCGGAGGACAAGCACCGACCGACTTAAACTTCAAGGAGCAAGAAACGCTCATCGACACGAACCAAACCTCAACACGGGAATCTACCTACAAGTACGTTACATTAAGTCTCAAAAGAAAAAAAAACAATGGCAACGATCCTGTCCGCTCGCCAAGGACAATTAACAAAGGCAATCAATCGGGTCATATTCACCTTAAATAGCTATCAGAACGAAATAGATATGCCAGTAAACCTTCCGTCCGAACAAGATAGCAGAATCGAGTACATTACTGGACGGCAAAGGAAGATAGAACACGCAAAATCGGCCATTGAACATGAAAGAAACAGCGTCCAGACCGCGTTGGATGCTTATGCCATGATGGCAGACCAACTCCAGGAAAACCCTAACACGCAAGCAAAAGACGAGCTTCAACGCACTGCCAATAAGAACGTAGAAAAGGCAGTCGAGCACCTCGACGAGGCGGAACGCTGCCTCTCTAAACTCATCGACATAGGAAAAACGTTGGAAGACACCGAGTCATACCCACGAAGGGAGTCAAATGTCCATCCACCTCTTGCGAATCTGCCACCCATCCCTATTCCGAAATTCAACGGAGACATAAGGGAGTGGGAAGCATTTTGGGGAGCATTCAATTACAATGTGCACTCCCGCCGGATGGACGACCTCCAAAAAATGACGTACTTGCTAGACACCCCTCACGTCCTCGACCTGTGAGCCGTTACATTGGTGTGTGTACTATTGTTAATGTGTTTTATTAGGTAACAAACCCACTGAACCACCTTATTCACAGTTGTTGGACAGAAGTTGTATATTGCCTTGCATTATTGTGTAAATAACATGTGTATACTAATAAAGGTTTAATTACCCAAGTTTGAGGTACATCACAAACGGTCCATAGTTCTTGCGCACTCCCGCGAACGCCCCTCACGTCCTCGACCTGTGAGCCGTTACAACCAGAGGACTATTTCTTAGCGAAAAATTCAGTATTGGTTTGGTAAGCCTTGTATGAGAGACATAACTCTTCAGGAAATAGAAAGCCATAGGGCATCCTTTAACAGTTGACGGGGATCATCAAGAGGCGATATTCGATGCTAATCCTCTAAAAACTACTCGAATGGTTTCCAAAGAACTAAACGATAACTATCCAGCAAACGTCATTTGGAAGGTTTTAAAGTAGCGCAAATCATCGATGGATAGTTGCCACTCGAACTGGACGAAGATTCTCGATCAATGTGAAATATGATGGAAATAGGATCACCTACAGCAATTAATAATGTTCAGGCAGTGGAAGGACGAGGATAAAGCTCGTAGAAAATCCTATTGACTCCAAATTTGCACCAGAATATTATAGTGATTATTTGTAGGTGGTTTCAAGGGAGTTCCATCCACTGGAGCTTTCTGGATCCAAATGAACCGGTTACGAAAAAGTGCCGGCACGAAGTCTTATATTAAAGAATTAAATAAATTTGCCTTTGTTGTCGAAAACGTGCGGATTCTAATGGTTTCATCTTGGACCAATAAATTTGTGATAGAGCCGAGTATTCCAGAGTTCTCGTTCATAATCGGGTAGATAATATTTTCTATCGGCCTAGAGAACTTTTCATGCGCTATCCTATACGGTGATAATAATGATACCCTTAAGGCCTTAATATGTGCTATAAGTGCACTCGTGAACGGGTGATTACAAAAATCCGTTTGGTCACTCTTGTTAGGTAGAATAATTGCGAATACAAGCTTTGATAGGCTTGCTAAGCTCTGTCGTTGTGCAGATGAGTTTCTTTTGAAGATGTGATGCCATGTAGGTCGTGAAAAACGTGCTGCTGATTGTTTCGAGTTTGAAGGACGTCTGATCCTCTATTTTCCAGTACTTCGATCGCAGCTTAAAACCCACAAGCAATAATGATGTGACGTGATTCTTCTTTTGTGGAGACGTTATGATCTAGAGTAGAGTTGTGGAACCTCTCCATTATTAAATCCGTATCATGGCAGGGTGTAGTGATGTTGAAAAAATGTTTTTTTATTACCAACTTCTAAGCTTCAGCACAGTTTCAGTGAGCACTGCATTCATATCAGTGAAGGACTTGACTCAAAATGAAGTGTATCACGGCTGGACCTCCTTTCGCTGTACAGCGACAGTATCCTTTTTTATTATCTTCTTGCTCAAGTGAGATGATCTCACGAAAAATACATTGGGTGGATCCACTTCAAGGCATATTTTTAATGGCTGCTATATGGTTACTGGAATTGGGTGTGGAAAATTACGCTAGGTAAGGATTGGTCGTTGAAATTTATTTGATTGATATTTAACGTTTTGTTTTCTGCCTTCTATAATTTTCATGGCAGGTTACTAAGTGAAATACAACCACAACGTTGCTGAGATATTTGCAAAACTCTGGACCGCAGGTGTCTATGGTGAGGAACGAACGCGCTATTGTCCTTTCCGGGGAGTAACGCGTTCACCACCACACCATGCGGGTCCTTTGTTTCGCACGTCTCTCAGCTATTTCTATCGATCTTTTTGCCACAGCAATCACCCGTCGGCGGGGTTGATCTAGGGAGCGCAAATCGGCATAGAACCCAGTTAAGCTATGGCTGTAGTTGAAATCACAATGTTTAACGTTTTGTTTTCTGCCTTCTATAATTTTCACGGCAGGTTACTAAGCGAAATACAACCACAACGTTGCTGAGACATTTGCAAAACTTTCTGTGGCAAAAAGATCGATAGAAACAGCTGACAGACAGGCGAAACGACCCGCATAGTGTGGTGGTGAACGCGTTACTCCCCGGAAAGGGCAATAGCGCGTTCGTTCTCCACCATAGACACCTGCGGTCCAGAGTTTTGCAAATATCTCAGCAACGTTGTGGTTATTTGACTGAATTTATTATGTTCACTTTAGGACGAATGTGTAGCAGTGGTCGGAGGCGCTTGGAACACACGTGGAATCGATTTGCGAGCCCACGGCCCACCAAGCCATCCATCCCTCCGGAGTCGGCAAATTGGTACCAGACGGCTTTTCTGGAAGGATTAGCACTGGGTCAATGCATCGGTAGGCCACTGCGGTAAAGGCCAGATATGCATTCAGTAATCTCCAAACGATGCTTAATGAAGCCGAATGTATGGCGCCTCCCTCAGAGATTGATCAACACCGAGAGCTTTATCCTTTTATAACAACGTCGGCGTTACCGAGTAATTCCGTCACCCCAATAGCACGATCCGCAAAACCGCCCACCACGGCGCTAATCATTCGCTGGTCAGCATGATTTTGGAGGCTATAGTGAGGAGTTTCCATGTTATTGCCATTTTCTGACAACCGCTCTATGATCAAGAAGTATGCTATAGCCATAGTTACAGGCAGAATAAGGCTGATAAGGATTACTTATCTTGTTTTTCTGGGACTAATAACATATAAATGGGTAGCATATAAGTGGGTTTCATTTTCACAGAACCCCTTCCATCATCGACGGAGATCAAATGACCGCAGAGCTTCTATGGGACAATCATGTCGACGAAGATATAGGGGATCTACTTGACTTGGTAACGAGGATTTCACTGTCAACTCGCGACATTGTCAACAACGAATTAGACGCTCAGCCAAAAAACGTTCCAGAAACGGACTCATCACCACTGAGTGACGAGAGTCTTTCAACAGCAGAACTGGAACGGATTCCAAAATATCCTAGCTTCAGCCTATTGCGACGAATACAGGCGCATATCGACCTACGGCCTGGTTTTGTTTGTGCAAAAATTACTCCGGACGATGTTCCTCTCTCAGAAAATATTCATCGTCAGTTGATAATGGATGAAATTCGCTCGAGGCTTGACACCACGACCATGCGAGTCTACGCTCGACGGCATGACAAAGGCGCTGCTTTACGACGAGCTGCTGTTCCGTCGTTCTTTGTGCCAAGACGACGAGGCATCAATATACCACCGTCTTATTTGGCTCTTATTGAAAAAATGAATCCAATGCTGTTTAGTCAGATTCACAATGATGAAGTGAACAGACTACCCAGGGCACCAATGGATATTCAGTAAGTATTTCAATATAAATCAGATAGTCCTTAGCCCTGACCATTGATAGTGTTAATAGTTCCGGTTAGGAAATATTCGTACTTACATTCCAGCTGCTATCTAAATTTTTGTTTGCCTACTTTAGTGAAGAACTTAAAGTAATCGCTGCAGGCTACGCCTAGTGTCTGTTACACTACAAAATTCTAATCTCTTCTAAGCAACACTTCCCTTCTCGGCGTGCGCAGAATGAGTTACATGCGAATCATTGTGGCTAACTCTCCCTTCTCCTCCCAACCCACCATGGTAGAAACATCGGCCCCTCTCATTAATAACGACAGCTTCAGCCTCCGCACCAAATTAAACAGTGAGAAATGGAGTGAATCATATACGATTCATACTGGTTAATTTATCCGCAATGCAAATGAATCGTATCTAGTAGCAATCGAGTTCTATGTTGCACTTTAAAATTAAAAATACCTTCCACTTAGGTATCTTCATCGACTTGGGCAATTCATCGACATCTTTGAACGTGTGCTAGTATCGGATGAAGCTCATTACAGCAGTGAAGAAGTAAGTCGTTTTCTGTGTGTACAGCACCGATATTCAGCTATAAACTTGCTCCCTTGTGCATATGTTCAAGAACTAAAATTTGTCTACGCAATACAGTAGATCGATGGAAACAAAGCGATATGGCTACTCTTTGTACATCGATAAACTGTAATCTATAAAATTCGGTGGAGGGAAAATTCAAAAAGGTCCTAGTGAGGGGTACATCAACGTATTTGGGTAGGGTACCCGTTCCAGATTGTCAAAATGTGATATAAATGACTAAAACTGAAGAAGAATACGGTAATCATATTTGAAGGCTTAACTAAGGGTAACACTACGAGCCAGGAATCGCTGACATCTTAGGAAATACCTAATCGCAAGGTCGCTGCCTAACACGAACTTTTCGTGAAGCAAGGGAAAAACGTCATACTGAACGAACAATATACTATCGAGATGGAAAACGTGATAGGAATCGCACCACTGTCTGTAAAGTTTAGCCAATAAAATATTAAACTGAATAGGTTCACGGGATAAGATTCTTATTTTTGTGGAATTCGTTTTCCATATTCCACCGAATGGGAAAATTCGGAGGCATTTCAGTGCAGAAACAGTTTGCACTCTTAAATTCTGAAAATCGTTTATGACCTTCAGTCAGAGATCTATTAGCGACCAATGCGGTAGTGCGGCTTCTCTATAAGATATTCAGAGGTTTGAGCTCTGCGAAAAACCTTTCGTCGGCATCAAAAACTACCGTTGAAGAACCGTACCAATCGCTAGAACAGAGACAATATGACACTCAGTTTGAGGTTTAGATGCCTGATCGTCACATGTCGTGCATGTCTTAGCATTTTGTTAAATCCGATTAGTTGCCCGCAATCTTAATCCATCGGCGATGTCTTCTTGGATAATTGGTGGCCATCTCACCCACATACTGAATGCTGACTGGGCGAAACTTTCCGGCGTTCTTAAGATAACCGTGTTTGTCTATTTCAAGATCTTCTCCGCAAGTAGACTTCAATTATTGACGCGGAGAGGTTCGCTCTCTTTTTACTTGGACTCTTCCATCTCGTGAACAATCTCGTGGTAGCAACGGTGTCTGCGTTCATTCGACGTGATGCTGTATGAAAACGCGTCGGAAACTGAAAACAGCTCTTAATACTGTGCGGTTTCAATGTTCTACGACCTTGAAGGAGGGCACATGTGGCGCAGTGGTTGGAGACGCCACTGCGACACACGTGGAATCGATCCCCACGCCCATGGCCCACCAAGCCTTCCATCACTCCAGCATCGGTAAATTGGCATCAGAATTGTCTGGGAAGGTTGCAGCACTGGGGCGATACATCGGTAGTCCACAGCGGACGATACATCGATAGGCCACAGCGGACCATTGTAAAGGCCAGATATGCACCAAACGATACTTAATGAAGCCGAATGCATGACGTATCCCTTAGGGAAAGATGAACGCCAAGAGCTTTATCCTTTATCCATTTGCGACCATGAAGGGGGATTGAATTCTGCAAGGTTTCATTTCTTGTTAGGATTTCTTCCCACAAATTACTTCAACAAAGTATTTGTGCAATGAGCTTCATCACTTTCACAGTTCTAGAAGTAGAACCAGTTGTTGTACCAGACTCGTTTTTGTCTGCAGCATTGAATTTTACCGTACTGCTGTTGTAAGGCGACTATAGTGAATCACGCCATGAAGTAGTGATGTCCTTCCCACACAAAAATCGGAAAAGGTGCTATTTTCATGTTGTCAAAAGAATATGTACTGTAGCCCTTTCTTTCTTTTAGGCGTACGTTCTACAAATGGAGTATGATCGAGTATATGATTTATTGTTCACAAAAGCTACATCGATGAAGATTTCCGATGGCAATCATCAGCATTCCTTATCTCATTGCAATAATACAGAAACAGCGCTGAAATTAGTAAGTGAAAACAAATTCCCATTTGTTGTTGTACATATCACCTGCATCAATTTTCGTTCCAAAGAATGTCCAGTGACTCAAGTAGGAGTCAGTAAACTGTCGATTTCTCCCTGTTTTGTGCAAGAGTAACCCAATGAGTTTGGCTCGCTCTAGGGACTCGTTCTTTCTCTTCCTTCTAGGGAATCTTTGTTCTAGAGTTTTCATGAAAAACTCTAACCACCAGGTTTGTTGTCTTCCTGGTGGTTTTTTTGGTGGTAATGCATATGAACGGAACAAAATCCCAACTTGTATACAGTAGAATTTTGTTGATAAGATCTACATTTTGCTAACGTTGAATATCATAGACCATTCACCCAGGCAATTATAGTCAGTGTATTGTCTGAGAAGAAATTATGTTCGGTTGGTATTTAACATCTTAGGAAAACACGACCTACCTTTCTATTTAGTTCCATTTTTATTTTTTAAAAAAATAATCTATTGGAAGAAAGGAAAGTTCTTCCCTTAAATTTTACTATCTCAATCTTGTTAACGGGTGTTCTATGAGTTGGTTCGGTATAGAATGATCATTTTTGTGTAGATACTGCAGCTCGAACCCCAAACTTGAGCGACTGGACCTCTGTGCGAATAGTAGTAGTACTGCAATAAAAATATAGCGAGTTTAACCAATGAACATACATAATAATAACACGATAACGGATTGATACACTGAGATGCCTAGAAGAGGATGGATGAGAACTGTTAATAGGAAAGACTACATTATGCCGTTGATTGATGAGGTAGACTGAGCGAGCAACAGAATTTTATGTAAATACTCCTCATCCAAGAAACGTTGGAACCATATGGAAGCGTAAGGAGATGGAAGAGAAGCGAATCTACAACTGCTTGCTAAAATACTTTTAATCGGTGACATCATACCCCATGTACTGTCGGTTGGAGAGGTCTACAATCAAAGGGTAAAACTCTCGGCATTGATCAATCCATGAGGGATGCGCCATCCATTCGACTTCTTACAATGACTCGCGGTGGCCTACCAATGTATCGAGCTAGTTCCTCTATCCTTCCAGACAAGCCTAGTACCAATTTACCGACCTCAGAAGGATGGTAGGCTTGTTGAGTTTTGGGTGCGGAGATCGATCCCACATGTATTGCAGTACGCCTCCGACTACTGCACTACACGCGCTTCTACAGCCAACATAACAATGGCGAAATATCATGAATAATTGAAGGATATTCTTTATGGGCTTTCTGGGTTGTCGAGCTAAGACTGATAGCAGTGTTTTTATTCACATCAGCACAGCTAGGTTACATAGGCTGAGAAGAAGTTCGATACTTCCTTCGTTGGCAACAGTGATAAATGTTAGGCTGCAAAATAGTTCAATTAAATATATATAGCTAACCTGTTATAGAAAACAGTAAAATAAAAGGGCTTATGTCCAAAGTGTGATGCTATTTATGTCCTCCGAAACGATGAGGCTTCTGGGCGGCTTAGGTTTGCCGATTGCACACCTGGATCACTCATTGGTTAGCAGTAATACTAGTGACACAGACAGTGCCTCGTGTGATAAGCATCTCCCTAATCTTCATCTCTGGCGAAAATTATCTTGCATGTTCTGAGGCAGTCATTTGGATAAGAAAACACTTCTTTGTTTCAGCTTAACTAACGACGATATAACGATGCCTGTTTCCTAAATCCACATCATTTGGCCTCACTGTTTTGCTTTCTAATAAAACATCTTATAATATTTCACCATATTTCATGATGTACACAAATGTTCTTCGTTCTTCTGATTTACTCTACAAAAGAGAACTTCTAAGGCTCGCGTCACCTAGTAGATGTTAATCGATGTCTTAAACTGTTACTGAACTTCAATGGTCGCTATATTCTGAAGCAAATACTGATCGAACCATTCGAAATAAAGTTTCATTATTCCTTAAACACAATTGCCACTGAATAAATATTTCAGTACTGTTTTTTTATTATAGAAAGCATTTAGCGTAGTGGTTAGTGGTCATTGCCTCACCCATCATTGGCTCAAATTAGCAACTTTTAAAGTAACGTTCTTCGTTTCGTAACAAACTACATGCTGCTGCAAGGGATTTAGTCCTGGCTCGTCGTGAGCTTACGTGTTACTTCCTGATTGGCGGAGGCGGGTAGGAGCTCGAATGCAAGCCAAGTATGACTCTGTAACCGATTTGATCCAGAGACAGAATCGATGGCGACAGACTGACCACCCATTTGAACCGATTTAACTCGTACTCACCGTGAAAGGATAAGGCTTTAGGAGTCGCCTCCAACGAATAAGCTCCACTCTGGGAGAGCCATGTCCACTCTGGGAGAGCCTGGCAAGCTACCCGTGAGTAAACCCAGCCCCCACGTTCAGAGCCCAGCAAGCTATACGTGGATATTAAAATGCTAAACACAGTGAAAAAAGACGGGCTTCATTCCTCTGACCCCGAAAAAGCCCCCAATTTTTCAGCGTTGGGTAGGACGAGTACGGAGAGGCTGCTAAAATCCGAGGGCCAATGAACGCCGCCTGAATTTCAAA